TACCAGGTTGCCGCTCTCTCTTATTGCTGTCTTTGCTGATTTTGAAATTAGCCAAAATGCTGCTCATATCTGTTGCTTTCGGTGACGTGCACTTCATTAAATCCGCATATAGCGTGGGGGAATTGAAGATCGGATTTATATCCGTTTTGCAAAAACACATGTATGTGACTAGGTGTAAATTGAATCGTTTTGATAAATCAGATCTGAGAAAACGCATGAAGTGGCCAGGTACAGCCCCCTAGACGTGGCGCGTTCGGTGTGCGACCCCTTTTACGGATGTGTATTTCCCTCATATTAAATATAAAATGCATCTCTGATATTTTCCTAATGTCTGGATAAACAGACGTTTCAATATATTGGTTTTAAATGGCCCTTACAGTGCAATTCGACTACATCTGCGCTAAAATATCAAAGTGAAAGTCATCATAGCTTGCGTGGTATATAGTCAGCTCCCAACTTAAATGTGAGAATAGATTAACGGCGATATTTTTTTTATCGCCCGACAAGAGTCTCACGTTAACGCAGCACGTTAACGCCGATAACAGCCCACCCCTAATATATAAATATATATATACGTATATATATATATATATATATATATATATAGTAAATATTAAAAAAAAAAAAAAATGTAGGTTTTAGTTTTCATTTACAAGTAGTAATTTCAGTGCTTTAACTTATTTGAATTAGTTGCCCAGTAGTTAATTGTGTTAAAGAAAACTATGACAAAAAATGTTGGCCGATGAGCTTTTCTTCAATGGCGTCATTAAACGATAACTGTGGTCATATCGACATGCAGTTATCACTGACAAAAAAAGACGAGATGAAAACATAGGTAAAAATGAACCAAAATCTGTCTTTATTTGTTTCTCAAAAAAGAGGACTTCTGTACAATCATCTACGACGGGGTGTCCAAACCTTTTCCTGCATACGTAACATCTGTGACAATACAAACATGTTTCTTTACTGTTGTTTAAATGGGAAAAGTTTAATCAATCTGATACATTTCTTAATTGACCAAAAAAGTTGCAATTATAATTTTTTGCAAAATAATTGACTTAACTATTATTATATGCTGCATGACAAAATGACTTAGGCTGCATTTACACTGCAGGTCTTGATGCCCAAATCCGATTTTCTGACTATATCTGATTTTTTTGATCATCTTTTAAAAAGTGACCCATATCCAGTGGTGGAATGTAACGAAGTACAAATACATTTTTCACGTATCTTTACTTTACTTAAGTAGAATAAATAGTGCATACTTTTTACTTTTACTTCGTTACATTTTGCAGCAATTATTAGACTTTCTACTCCACTACATTTCTACAACTTCTGTTACATTTTCTGATCAGTTTTCCCCTGCAAAAAACGTAATCTGACCGTCCGTTCGTTGCACGTTTGTCTCACCGGTGACGTTTGGTTGCCATAGATACATCAACTAAATGCGTCTCGCACGCAGTGTGTTAATCGTGCAATTTACACGCGAAAAATTGTTTTTACGTGGATAGGAAACACACCGTGTGTAATATACGTTTAGTTAAGATTATGGGAAACCAAGAGGTTCAGAATGACACCATAAATTAATCGCGTTTACTGCCAAACATAGTTATTAACATATAGTAAGGATAAGCATGGTTTATATTGCCTAAAGCTTGTTTCAGAAATGGTGACAACAATTTTTTTTCCATCATTATTGAACATCATTATAGGTGTATTAGGTTGAATGAGTTAGAATTAAATGTTTTATTAATCATTAGAAAATAGTCATTAAGAGAATCAATTGTTATGCAAGTACTTTTACTTTTAATACTTAAAGTACATTTAAAATCAGGTACTTTTTACTTTTTACTTAAGTATGGTTGTCATTGTGTTACTTCTACTTTTACTAAAGTAAATATTTATCTGGTTATTTGTACTTTTACTTAAGTACTAAGATTCAGTACTTCCTCCACCACTGCCCATATCCGATTTTTGCATTTACACTATACACTGCTGCAACTACAAAATGCAGACGTTCTGACCCGGGAAATTAAGCAAAACAGCATGAATTTCAATGGATGCAGATGCGAATAAAATTATCCAGTGTTTTCTTTCCACAATATTCCAATAAGTCATCAAAACATTTGGTCTTGTACGGCGGAGAAAAAAAGAGGAGAGGCTCTAGCCACGAGCACTTAAAACGATGCCTTAATATCTCGTGAAATGTCTTCAAAAACGGATTTATTCACAATTCACAGTCTTTATAATATTTTTTAGCAATACATTTGTAACATTTATAATGTGTTTAGAATTTTTTTGTAGAATTGCCTTTACAGGGACTTTAAGGTTTTTACTAACTAATCAAAAGAAGAACAAGATTGACTAAATGTGATCACTATAAAGTTCTTTTGACTCAAGAATAAAAATAAAATAGCTGGTAAAATGAACACTACTGCCATTCATTTATGAAGGGTTTTCATTACCATTCAAAAATTATTAGGGAATTTTTCCCTGAAAAACAGGCGAATCTCCACATAATACCGACTCTGACGCAACAGTCGGGATCATTATTATGTATGACTCCGAAGATTTGCATATGCCAGCCCATGTTCAGTGATGGACGAGACGGAGCTGCGCAGTCGAAGCATGGCAGTCGATCAGTGTTCGGATCTACACATGAACACAAAAGTATATTTTAGTTCCTTCGTCCGAGCCTCTGAAGAAACAATGGATTCATTTTATTTTCTCTGGAAATTTTCAAACATTTCACCGACGACTTGTTTCCTCAACTTGCTAAGAGCTGGCCTCGGATCGAGCTGATGTGTTGTTGTTCAAGTTCAGACATGTAATCTTTCACTTTAAAATCGTATCAGTAAGTCAGGCCAGTGATTAAAAATCAACTTCACATCGTTTCTTTTAGTAGGATGAAAAAAAAATCGTATTTAAATTGTGAATTATATACAGAAAGAATGCGATCAAAGAACTCACAGCGCGAGTTTATCTGGACACTTGCCAAACTCGTTATAAATTCAACTGCACAACGAAACTCGAACGTTAACTGTATTTACATCATCGTGTCTGCTGCATTAGAGAGTAGAGAGACTGCATTGCAATGATAATATCTCCATTCTCGCGATCGACACACTCACTGTCCTCTGCTTGCTCAATCACAGCAACACTCTATGTGATGGGAATAGATCTAAATACTTCAAAAACATCTCACGATTCGTTAATCTCGATAGCTGTAATAGTAAAAACCTATAATAGCTGTTGTAAAATTATTCGAGAGAGTTTCACATGTAATAGGCTACATAGCTATTTAATATGCAAGCATGTCAGCCAATCACAGCAGAGGCCGGTTACACACAGCAGACACGCCCCTTCAAACCGGGTGTTCAAAGCAGAGGCTAAAATCAGGCTAGGAAAAATGCCTTTTATTTCTAAATTATGACTATTTTTGATCTAAAAAACAGGGCAACCCAGGAAACATTATAAAATAATTTAAAGAAACATTATAGGGCACCTTTAATATTAATGTAAATGTTTCCGCACTCATTGTCATGTTCTTGAAATCCTCAGGCCTTGTATTCTGATCATGGACTCCCTGCGTGGACCCACACGCTCGACTGTGGTGAAAACGCTGCGCCAGTGAGTTACTACTTGAAAATAAAACCTTTATTCGACATGATTGTGTGAGTTCATGATCACCAGATGATTTTGCATATAATATTGAAAGAAAAGTGTTTTGTCCTGTGGGAATCGGGGAGCGTCCGCTCGAGTCTTTCAACAATAACACGAGTGGCCTTGAGTTCTGGGTTATCTTGGTGTGTGTGTGTGTGTTCCTGCAGGTATCTAGAGGTGGAGTGGGAGGTGAAGAAGGGCTCCCAGAGGAGTTTCGGGAAAGAGGTGATGAAGGGCTCGAGTCCTCGTGTGCCCCAGCAGGATAACTTCAGTGACTGTGGAGTCTACGTGCTGCAGTACGTGGAGAGCTTCTTCGAGGTGAGACATCTGTTTACTCGTATAATTCACACGCATCCCATACAAATGTGATCCCATCACAATGTTTCCATGATTTAATATTAAATAGGGAAAAGTTTCAAATAACCGGGACTTTTGCGAGCTGTCTAATGGGCTGTGGAAATAGACATTTTTTTTTTTTATCTTGACATTTGGCAAAAAAAAGTGTATTTTTTTGTACTAAAGTACTGTAAAAGCATCATTAAAGGAACGTGTAACTGTGATCAAAATGCGGACCAGCATTGACTTAAAATAATCAACTAATTTGATTGTGTGCTGTGCCCAGAAAACATCTGCCAGTTTTGTATATTTACACCAGTGAATAATGCGGTTACATGAACAGAGCTCCTGCGGGACAATAGTCCTAACATGAGAATACGTCAAAACTAAAGCAAGTTTAAAGGAGAACTCCGGCGCAAAATGAACCTTTGGTCTAATTACACATTGTTACCTAGTCCAGCGGTTCTCAAACTGGGGGCCACTAGATGGCGCTAGGGGGGCCGCAAACAAATTCTAGAATATGAAATTATTATTAATAATTATTAAAAAAATTATTTGACCTGTATGTAAGTTTGGATTGTCCTATGTGAAATCTGCATTGCATGATTTCTTTTATATTGTAAAACTTGTATAAAATTGTATGTCTTCTATATTGAAAAACTATTTCTTTAAGGAGAGTAGAATATTTTTTTTGTTTCTTGCTGAAAAAACAGATTGCTGTTCAAATTTGCAAACCAAACTTGAGCCACTGTCATTTACTACCTTAAAATGTAAGAAGTTTAATGCACTTTTTTACAATCAGCAAATTAATTTTTCAGTGTTTATCTTTTACTATGAACATCACAAATGTTCAGTATTCAATACTTTTGTTGCACTTTTCAGACAATATTACTGTTAACTGTCAAAACCATTTTTTATAAAAAAAAAATGTTATATTTAATGAAATGTACAATTGAACAAATTTTGTATATTCAAATAAAGCTAAAAACAGAACTGTTGTTCCAGCATTGTACAAATTCATTTGTTTTTGGTACAATCTAAAATTTGTAAGTAAAATTGTACGTTTGAGGATGTTTTCGTTATGAGTTTTCTTTTGGGGGGCCACTAAAGGATTCACCCTACACAAGGGGGCCTCCTCCTGAAAAAGTTTGAGAACCACTGAGATTTGTTTTCATGATTGCCGAATGTAAATAGTTTTATCTCTAAAAACAGTTTAGCCTATAACGCTAGTATAACGCTAGTATATAGGGCATAGAGTAATGACAAATAAAAATCGCTTGTTATTACCACTAACAAGGCTCAAAATAGCCCCACAGTAACACGGTAGCATAACAAGGGTCCCTACATTCAAACCGAAGCATTGAGAACTTTGTCAGTGTCCATACAGTTTAATAAGAAGATATTTTATACGCACAGTCAACTTCGGGAATACAGGAAGAAGCCATCTTTGAAAAATAGTCTCTACCAGTCGATCTACGAACGCCGATCCAAGTGCGCTGAACTGTGCAGAATCTCATATGGTCCGTTGTTTCCGGAAGAAACACAAACACAAACCATTTTCTTCTTTTCAATATGTACACGTAGCCTACTGTTCACGCTCACCTTATCACCTTATTCACATCTCACCAGCGCACTTGGATCGGCGTTGGATCGGTGAGTACACAACCATGCGCACACACAAATGCGACCACATAACATTTTAACTCGCACACTCTCAAAAAATGGTCGCAGTCTGGAACCCCGCTCATGATCAAATGGCTGAAATCACGTGATTTCAGTTAACAAGGCTTTGTGGCCGAGATTACATTGGTTCACCACTAGGGGCGATGATCCCTGTGAAATCATGAACCCGTGTCTGTACGGTTTTACTTTTCCCCTGATCTCAGATCCGTTTTATACATTTGTAGACATTTAATGACATATTTGTATAAGAAACTCTGAATAACCAAGCTCCAGGGGTTTAGAGCAACGAATTACAAACACTCATGTTGATGAAGTAGTTTTTAACCAAAATTTTACTTCAAGTACACAATTTTGAAAATACTTAAATACATTTCAAGTGGTGTATCTGTACTTTTAGTCTGCCATTTTCCCTCCATTTGTGGACGTGATATGCTTGTTTTAATGAATCTTTGAAATTCTATTATGTAGCTTGATGCCAAAAGCATTATGGGAGCTCTAAAGCCCCACCACCAGCATCTGTCAGTCGCTGTGTGTTAGTTAACAGACTGGTACTACCGATAATAATTGGTGTTTACAGGGCAAAAAAATAAAAATAAAATTTTATTAGCATCTTTTCAGCCTTTTCTAAAAACTCACATGACATGGTCTTACAAAATGCTTTATAAACTGCATAGTTTCAGATGTATAATCTTCAGACTTGAAATGAAGTATGAGCAGACTTGTAGCTTCACTTTAATTGTGAAAATAAGTTGTTATACCACACATATATATATATGTGTGTCCATATTAATAACAGTCTGAGTAATTAAGCATCTTGAACTGCAAATGTGTAAATATATGTTGGTGATGTGTCTTCAGAATGACTTATACACAGTTTCATTTGTTTTCAAATTACTCATCATTTGGAGGACAATTAAAAACTCTGAAATGAATATTTATTATAAATCTGATTATTTAAAGAGGTAGTCTATTTGGATAATCGGTTATCACGTTGCAGCCCTTCAACAGTGTCATGATGCTAGTACTTGACCCTGCATATATTGCCTTATGTTATTAAAGTTGCTTCAGGATGCAATGAAAGAGTGTCGAAACAGAAATATACATTACAGTGACCCTCATATCCATAATGAATTGACTAGTTTACGTTTGAGACTAATGCAACAATCAATTTTTCTTTTTCTTTCAAAGAATCCTCTTCCCAGCTTTGATCTGCCGATGAATCTGTTGGATTGGTTTCCCCAGCAAAGGATGAAAACCAAGCGGGAAGAGATCAAGGAGCTGATTCTGAAGATCCAGACTCCGCAGCAGCTCAGTCTGGAGAGCGAGACACACCCGGACGCCGAGGACACGTTAGAGTCAGCTGACCTCATCCCTCCAATCAGCTCCTGAGCTCCGCCCACGCTGCTACGCTTCTACCATCACATGACTTATAAACACTAAAAGCCAATCAGGGCCTTGTGTGATTGTTCGCTGCTGGACAACTCTGCCGTTATTTCTTATAGGTTTGATGATGCGAACTATTAAAAAAAACATTTTTTTTTTTTTTTTTTTTTTTATTTCTATTGTAGTGTACATAAGCTAGGCTTTTCTTTCTTTTTTTTAATGCCTTTTGAGTTTTGCCTCTCATTTATTGTTAGTGCATCGGATTTCAATTTTGCACCATCTGTGAAATAAAGTTCATGTGTTCATCTTTGATTTACTCTAATGTGCCTAGAGGATCAAATGCAGAACGGTTCAGTTTTCCAATGGGAATGAATGCATTTTTTTTTTTTTGTAAAATCAGTATCCAAGCAAACTTTGTGATTACAACAGAATAGAATTCAGTTTCCAATGTTCTGCTATTTGCCGTTCAAGAGTGCACATTTGCCTTGGTACTGTCTAATACAAGAATATTATGTGTCACAAATTAGGCCTGCTTCTTTATGAATATCTAGTTTACATTATTTCAGTTGATTCACAACATTTAAGTATAAGTCTTTTCAAAGCACCATCTTTCGTAAACATCGTAATCGGACCTCAGCAGGTCAGACGTGTGAGGTGAACTTTTTCTTCCAAAGTAGAGAAGCAACAGATCAGGGGTCTTACTTATAAAACTGTGCGTAGGATCGTTACTAAAAGTGTACGTGCGCCCGAAAGGCAAAAATGGCGTATGCAAAAAAATATTCAGATTTTTTTAAACCTGTTCTGTTCATACGCCAGAACCTGTGCAGAATTCACTTCACAAGATGTAAACAACACTGGTCCAGAAGCACTTCCTGTTTCAGTTTTTTTAACACTACATAAAAGCTGGGATAAAATACAACCTACAGAACATTTAAAACAGAATCAAAAAGTTAAACAAACATCTTTAAGATGTTTTCTTTACATGTGAAATAAAGAAAACAGTTACAAACTGAAACAGGAAGTGCTTCTGGACCAGTGTTGTTTACATCTTGTGAAATGGTCTATAAATACCAGTCAGCCGAAGATTGTGCGCATGTGCGTCTCCTCCCCGAAATAACCATATATGGAGATTACAACGCATTGTTTAAATATGCATATCCTCATCTGCATATCATTTGCATCTGATTATTCTTCCACGTGATACCATGTTAAGGTAGAAGTACAAACAAGTAGCCAATATCCTTGCCTTGTTTTTGAAAGAATAGATTAAATAGTTGCTGCGTCCCAATTTGCTTACTTATACTACGCCCTAAAATATGTACTCTTTTTGTGAGGAAAAAGTACATACTTTTGAGTGTGTAGCAAAAGAGAAGGCAAGCTTTGGGACATACTCTTTAACGGACAGCTCTGTCGCGTGCTGCGTGCACCGTAAACTGCTCTGTCAATCATCTTGTCACAGTTAAAATCCTCCATTCTATCTAATTTTATTTCCTACCGTTTCGGAGAGCACGTTCATCTGCCAGTTGTGGGTCTTTCATGCTCTCCTCATGAGTTTGCAATATAATGATGCATTTAAAACGTAATGGCTAAACGTGTCTTTACAAAAGTTCACAATGCTGCTGCAATGCAATATAATGTGGACAACATTGAATAAATTCATTTTTTTTTATTGAATATGTATCAAATAACAAGCAAGTACAGAGCACAAAATCTCTTTATCTAAACCTCTCTACACAACCGCGTCCTCGACTACGTGTCTGTAGTTTTTTTTTTTTTTTACACTTTTTACTCGTGTTTGTAGTTCTAACCGAATCCTCGTCCAACGCGCAATGGTTTGTGGGCAATATCTATGGAGCGAAGTATGTGCCTAAACCTCACACACAAACAAAACGTGTTTTACTCACACCCAATGATTCACAAACAAACTCAATGTGGTTTGTAAATACAAAACATCACTCACAAACTAATGCATATTGTTCTGCAAATAAAAAGCGTACCTATCAAACAAATACAGTATGTTTTACATATACATAGAAACGTATTTCTTCAATGACCAAAATATCCTGCAAGTAAACTAAAATCTTTAAAAGTACAAAACAAAATTCTACACGTACAAAACAGAATTCTACAACTACAAAACAGAATTTTACAACTACAAAACAGAATTCTACAAGTACGAAAAACTGTCACGTGACTTTTGGCACTATTTTTCCGCGTCCAGGCAGAATCAGATTTTCTCACAAATACAGTGGAACAACTTCCTCTTCTAGAACAGTAGATGGCGCTAAGATAAGGGATCAATTTGCTCGCCTTTGCCCATGGAAAAATGAGCGGTGAACAGGTGTGTTTCTGTCCAACTTTATCTATAATTAACCTTATTGAGGTTTTGGAAAATGTTTATTATATAGACAGAAATCCACATTAGCACTTAGTAGTAACGTACTCCACTCTATGATAAGGGAATCTATAAGCTGAAAGCTGCCATCATGTTGCTTTTACTTTTTGTAAAAATGTTTCATTTACTGAATGACTCTATTTCTTTCGTTCTCCATAAATTAATGAGAACATTTCATTTAATTGAAAGGGTCCCACTTATTCATTAATTTTGTTGGAATTCAGTCAGCTGTTAATTACATTAATTACTGTTAATGTAATAAAATAATGAATGAACAAATCAAACAATATACAGTTGTTTCTTCCCTGTGATGTATTGTCCAAATTATTATTTTGGACAGACAAATGAAACCCTCCTTTCAATTAAATTAAATGTTTTCATTATTAAGAACGAAACGAAAGTAATAGATTCGTTCAGTGTATGCATAATCACTACTTTAGTCATTTCACACAGATATTCGCACACACATTTTGTCACTGGATAAACTAACACACCTCTAGTTTCAGTTTATGAAAATAGTCAGTTTTATTATTCCATCATATTGAATGTTTACATTTAAATCAAGACAATAACACAATGCTACACTACACTGACCGTCTAGGGGGCGCTATAGAGCCCCCTGTGTCCCTCCATCACAACCCTGGTGCAGCAGCCCACTGAGGCGAGTTGCCGTGAGAACCCACATGCAGTTTATTAAACAAAATACAGATAAACAAGCCAATACAATGACTAGAACTTGGCTTGACTAAGAACATAACTGAAACATTAACCTGAACATTACCTGAACTGACAAGACTCAACAAAAGCAGGTTACAAGCAACAAAACTAGACAAAAGACAATGGGAAAATGAGGGCTATACATAAAGACTAATGACTAACAATGTGACACATGTGAACAATCAGGAATAAGGGAATCACATGGCATCTGAAAACTACGAAATAAAAAAAATCAATGAAAACATGAGTGTGAACCAAAACTTGACACCTAGCATAGTCATGAGTTTGCATGAGCTGCATTTGACATCACAATTGTACTGTAAAAAGTATTACCTTCAAAAAGTAAAGTGAGGGATTACTCTTAATGTTGATGTCATTTATTTACAGTTAGGCCTACTTCTGATGTAATTGCATTCATTCTATACTAAACCATGGGTTTAACATCAAAATGGTAAAATATAGGCTATTTTTTTAATGTTACCTTCTTCCTTTAAATACTTTGGTCAGTAATTGTATTATTTATTTGAAATTTAAAAGAGCAGTTTCATGTCTGTCTTTGTGTTGTTGTTGATATATGGAATAGAAAGTATTAGTAATAAGTAAACCAATAATCTAACTGCACCGTTGATGATGTTGATTGCACCGTAATTAGCTTGGCTAGTTGTTGGAATATCACACAATATTCGCAATTTCATCACCAATCAATATTTTATAGTAGTGCATGTCTCTGCATGCATTTTCAATGGGAAACCACTAGAGTGCGATGGTTTCCATTCATCTAACAAACAACAGTCCAACCACATACTGTATGCATCACTTTCAGTTAATCATGTGTTTCATAAAGTAATTCACATGAGATGAAACCCGTCCCACACCGAGGAGCGGAGGCAGGCGCGCGCGCGCGCGCGATTCCCATGGACGCGCGTGACGTCACAATGGAGCGTGGACTTCATCCCGGGAGTGGAGGCTGATCAACATCCGGGACACCGGGTCTGAGTTCATGTGAATGCCTACACACACACACACACACACATACATACACTTCACCGACTGACTGCACGGGCAGCGAGCGACAGAGGTGAGTTTCATCTCTACATCGTGTTCGCTTTGCCTATTAAGTGTGATGTGAGTGTGTTTGGTTCAGTTGAACAAAGCGGACTGGGATTATTGTTAGTTTTAGCGGAGACTCCGGGGAGTATTGCAGAGGAAAACATAGGAGCTCATCCCCAACATAAGGGTATTCTTGTGTGTGTGTGTGCGTTCATGCGCGTGCTTTTATGATTCTATGACTGATGATGCATTGATTGGCACATCTCTGAGATCAGCTGATGGTCAAGGCTGCTTTATATCATCTCATTGCATCTTTTTAGTCTTTTTATGTCCTCAAGGCCTTTCCTTCAGAAATACCTCTGTTTCCTGGACCTCATTTACCTTGCAAATTTTGGCGCTTTGCTTACAGGAATTCAAATGTTAAAAGCAAACTTTCACTTCCAGACTATTGTATTGTGTTGGGTTGTATTATTTTTTTTAGATAAAAGCTCGAATATATCCATGGATGTTAAGTGGGTTGCCTAAACAGTAAATTTCTCCTGCCGTGTCACAAAAAGTCGTAAATGCCCTTTGCTCCTTCCTTGGGAACTTTCACATGCACTTGTCCCATATAGGACAGTCACACACCTGTCATTGTCTAAGGAGTCGATCGTTTGGGAACCGCTGACAGAAAACAGTGTTGTTGTGCTCTGGCTGTCCATTATAATGAAAGAAATATGAGAGGGACACACAAACATTGTGTGTGTGTGTGTGTGTGTGTCAAACAGTCTGACCACAACGACACACCTACAGGTGCGGCTGGCCAAGAGTCATGACTCACCTCACTTTCATTCTCAAGATATTTCTGTCATTTTTTTTACCATAAATGAGTCTGTAGGCTTGCTGTAATTACCTTGGGAAGTTCCACACGTATAGCAGGGCTCGATCATAAACTTTCGAGTAAAAAATGTGCATGTCTGGAAAAAAAAATAGAATTTTTGTGTTGTAAATATAATTTATTAAAAAGCTATATTTTCATCAGCTGTAATAAATGTGTTGGTGATTAGTTCCCAACCATAGTTGACAGCAAAATACATATTTCTGAGTCACAGTAAAGGAAAAGAAATGTGGGTAAATGTGACTAAAAATGTCTATTATTTTCTAACAAAAGCTACTGAAATTTTAATATCAGAACATGTTGTTTTAGGAATAGATGTAGTTATTTTTTCATTTATAGTGGACCTCAGCTACTAAGACCTAGTTCATAGTGTACTACCGACTTCTATTATTCAACTTTGACAGCATTCAAATATCGTAGAGGATAACCATAGCAACTTGCTTTAGTCGGCTCCTGTCCTGGTGTCATATTTTCATGACAAGCCTTTGTTCATCACTAGTACACACCTTCACCTTCACACATTTGAGGTATGTTCAGTGTCTTATAGGACTCCATTAGGGCTCCAATACAACCCACACAAGACTTTTCGTTGCATTCATTTAGTCTAATGCTGAACAGTGGATCCGTGGCAATCCTCATTGGCAGTCTACGTAGGCAGCGCTTCAAGTCATCATAGACTTGCTGCCTTCATAAAAGGAAAGCATAGTAACCCTGCCTTCTAAGACTCCTTGTTTTGGCCAAATTTTAAAGGTTAGTAGTTTGCACATGTCCATTGTGGAGAAGAATGCGTTGTTCTGATCTGTGTAAAAACTAAACTGAAGATTGCAATGTGAAAGAATAAATAAATATACTACCTTATTTAAATTAAAGTCAGTAGTGAATTCTCAATGTTGCTTAACCCTTGTGCTGCATTAGATTTTTAACACCGTTGAGTCCATTAAGGACCAAAAATGGCCACATATTAAACATTGCCTAAAATATTATATATTATTATTATTTTCCACTTTTACCAAGTTAAATCTTTTAACCAGCATCAGTCCTCATCATAACTACCAAAAATGTATTCAATTTCAGGATTTTAACCCTTTAATTACCAGTTTTGTTTGCGAAACCATCGATTTGTATAAGAGGAAAAAACACAAAAATTCAATTATTTTCAATAAACTAAATGCAAAGAGAAAACTTTAGATTTGGATTATCACAGTCCCACTTTGCAAAAAATCCCACTTAGCGCGTTAGAGACCAAAAATGGCCACCTATTAAACATTGCCTATTGCCTAAAATAAGGTGCATTTCCACCCATAGGGAATAAATATTTAGTGACGTCATCTGGTGGAATACACTATATAATGCAAATATAATGCTTTTGCTTCAAAATGAAAGGATGTTTGTGCAAAAATCATGTTTCATGTATTACTGACAGCCTCAGATTTAAACAACGTTTTAATGGGTTTCAATGGGCCATTTTTGGTCTTTATGGTGCTGAGTGTTACTATTTGATCTACACAGTGTGTGTTATACATATTTTGCAAAATGGGATCACATTTTTTACATGTATCCAAAAAGTCACAATTTTGCCAAATTTCATACCATTTGCATTAAAACAGCCAAAATGGTCAAAGAAATTAAACTGCAAAAGACCAAAAATGTCCCTAATGCAGCATAAGGGTTAATAGTTTAATATATATATATATTCTTAAAAGCAACATTTTGAACAAAAAGCTGAGAAAATCTTGTTTTTGTCAAAGACATAAAATCTTGTTTTTGGATTTATGTGCGGTTTAATGTTGATGATCGCGTTATTTTACGTCTGCTTGTTTCTGCTTCTTTTAAGCCTGTGTTTTGATCAGGAGATTCAGGACTGTTTCAGAAGATGTGTGTAACAGTGAAAACCGAAAGTGAAAGAAGAGTTAAAACAGCTGCGGGATTCTGGATGAATTGAGAATCACGATTTATTAGTTTCAAACAGAGATCATGATTCTCCCACAATTCTTAACAGACAACTAGGGGTGCACGATATATCGGCCAGCATATCGATATCGGCCGATATATGTACATTTTTAATGTTATCGTTATCGGCCTGGTAAGAAAACGTGGCCGATATATTAAAGCCGATCAACAATGGATTATTCCCTTCAGCTGAGACACTTGTTGAGCACTGTTTATGTTTTTGAATTTCTTGAAATAGTAGGATTGAAATCTCTTCAAAAAATGAAAATACGGTTCGGTACAACATGTGCAGCGCATATCTGTCATATCGGCTATACAACACTTTAATGAGAACATCATTATAATTGTGAGACTTTTGTTTTTGTAATCAGGCTCTAAAATTAGATACATATTTGGATTTGAGTTTATCGGCCGATATATCGGTTATCGGCTTTCAAATATAAAGGATTATCGGTTATCGGTATCGGCCAAAATTTTCATATCGGTGCATCCCTACAGACAACTAAACAAAATAACACGTGATTTACGAGAGGTTCTGACAAAATGTTATTTGCTGCTGTGCTGTCTATTTAAAATATTGAATCAATCTGAATCATATAGTGAATGATTCAATGACTCTCTCATAAAGACTTCAGTTGCTTTGTTAATGGATGAATCAGCGTTGCCGTTTTTGAATGACTTTATTGAATCAGAGGGCACCTATTATGGAATTTCGAAAATTGCCTTTCATGTAGTGTGTAACATAGATCCAAGTGAACGAAAACATCCTGCAAAGTTTTAAATATGAAAGTTCACCATATACAAAGTCGACTGAGTCGCTGATATGAATCGTTAGATGAACGATGCTTTCGAACGATCTAGATGACGTCAACTTGACAAGCTATTTGAATAAGATACGCCCACTCATTGCGTGCGCAGCCACCAGGGTAAACTTGAAGTAGTTTCAGCTTCTAGGTCTCCAAATGTCATTTTTGTTTTGAAATATGTGTAATGTATGTCGTTGTTATTGGAGTTGTCATAAAGAATAGAGCAATACCTTGTAGTACTGCAGTGCTTTATCAATACGTTTGTGCGTCCAATAACGGATTGGTTCGTCTGACCAATCACCGCAGATTAGCGTCACACAAAGGAGTCGTTGAACGAATCATTTGGGAGTCGGTGAGAAAATCCGATAAAAATAAATGCATAATATAATAAGACACCAAAAGTGTTTTATTTTGTCATTGCATGTTAAACTGTTGTTGGGGACTCCCAAAACAATATTAGGAACATTTTAAATGCCATAATAGGTGCCCTTTAATAAATCACTGACATTTTAACAGTCACTTGTCGCCACCTACTGGTGTAAAGATGGTCGGTCACAAGGTAAGTTTCGCTTCACGTTGTATGTGATTTCGGACGCAGCTTAGCCTATTTGTGAGTTGAGTATGTTTTAGTGTGTCACACAGACAGAGTTGTTGAGAGTTTCTGTCTTCTGCCGCATAAAACACAGCTTTATTAGGTTCAGGAACAGATCCACCGTGTGTGTGAAAAGCTTTGTGTCGTGCTGAACTCGCCTAACTCACTTTTCAACTCGTCATTCAAAATCCGCACCCACGTGTTTATGAATGTTAAATGTTTTCTGACAGGAGCATGAGACTGAGGCCCCGTCCACACTACTGCGTTTTCGTTTAAAAACGGAGACCTTTTGCTACGCTTGCACCTCCCGTCCACACTAAAACGGGAAAAACGAAGACCTAAAACGGAGAAGTTTAGAAACGCTGCAGCTCCGTTTTGCGTTTTGAATCTCCGGAGGGCGTTTTAGTGTGGACGAGACAAGTTTACGATGACGCAGAGGCTCCCGCTCAGCTCTATGATTGGGTGTTATCAGTCATGGCGTATCCTTCCCTGACGCCGCCTTCACACTGGCAGTTGAAATCAGCTCCGATGCGGCTGCGAAACGACCGGAAGTCATTCATTTCCTATGGAGATTCGCAGACCGCATGCGAATGGGTCCGAAACGGGTCCGACCGAGTGCGGTGCGAAGAAAATCGTGTCCGTTGGTCATCCGGATGCGTTCAAAAATTTGAACTCTTGCGAAAAGCTACGGACGGTTCCTATCCGACAATTCCAGCGGAAGTTGACCGTTGCTATGGTACTGATAAACAAACCTGAATTATTAACTTTTAATAAAATAAATATTGATTTTATAACGATAAGTT